TGATTGACCCAACAAAAAAAATGACAAGAAATGCCATTCAGATATCCATTACAACCCTCCATTAAAGATTTTAGAGTCTAAAATAATGCAAATTAATGACCAATTTAGAGATTTTGCCATGCATAGAGCTTCCCAAATAGCAGCACATTCTACTTCAAAATGATCCAGAATCTTTTCTAATCTCCTACCTATGGTCATTAAACATTTAAGCTTGTAAGAAAAGGCACAAACTCCAAAAGTTGCAAAAGGAAACTTATCAACTCCTCCATCACAAAAAGGAAAAAATATTATTTCCCATGCCAACAACATTTTGATTCAGAGAGGAGTTTAGTTTGATGGGAGGGGTATCCACTCAGAAACATAGGTATAGAATTCTTTGGACAGAACGAAGAATCCAACTACAAGACCTATTTATATTACAATTTTTTTTTTCATTGCAAGCTTGCCATAAAAAAACTAAAGAACAACAATCCAAGATAATAGATTTTTAAAATCAGCACTTGATGGACCTAAATTAGACAAAAACTCAAAAAACTGGTTAACATCATTGAACAAATTAGGTTGAAAGGTAAAAGCCCAAGGACTAGTAAAAAATAAAGCTCTCATAAAAGGATTATCAGTCCAAACATTCCCCAATTAAACATTTGCTCCTTGAGATTATAAAGCCCCATTTTGGGGGTCAATTTGTTCATATCTTGATTTTAGATAGAGAACAGTCCTTTTGGATTACCAGTCCAAGCCATTCTATCCATCCTTTTGTTAAAGAGATGTGTGGACAAGATATTCTCAACATTTTCATCCACAAAGATATGCAACTGATTAGCATTTCATTCTCTTACATTTTCATTAAAAAGGTTCTTAATTTGTAACATTTCGCTAAGCTCTAGGTTCAGGGCCCATTAGGCATCTAAAACCCGGATCAGACAGAACCTAAGCTACATTCCAAATATTTAGTTCAGAACTTATGGGCACCTAGACTCTAATAGAAGGGAACATACATTGTAACTGCTTTGCTATGGCTTTCCAAATTAGTGAAGTAGACACATTGTAACTGCATTGGGATAGTTTGGAGAACTGATTGCACTAAAACCTGCTTGCTAGCAAAAGATAATGCAATAGATTTCCAATTGCTTAGTTTTGATCTCAGTCTTTCTAAGATGAATTCAAGGGATTTTGATTTATCAATTCTCCAAAAGAGATGCACCCCCAAGTATTTGGCATTAGAACTAGTTGGGCTAGGGGTGGCCATGAGTCGATCTCTTCACGAGCTACTTGAGCTCAGCTTGGATCAGTTTCAAACGAGATTCGAGCTAAGCTCGAGCCCAATTTACAGGTTCGATTAATATACGAGTCGAGCTCGAATATATATATATATATATATAAAATAAATTTACTATAATTCTTAATTTTTTAAATATCAAATAAAAAATATTTTTTGTATATAATTTTTTTATTTGTATAAAACATTTTTCTCAAATCGAACTCGAGTTTATGAGTTTTTGACTCGAATCAAGCTTGAGCTCAAGGTTCTAGCTCAAACCAAGATCAAACCGAGCTCGAGCTCGAGCTCGAGCCTTGTACTACCTTGGTGAGCCGAGCTTGAGCCTCGTACTATTTAGCTCGACTCGACTCAAATCCACCCCAAACTGGGGCATCTTTAATTGACATCTAATCATTCTAGAGCCTTTGAGAGGAGTTCTTTTATTAAAATAAATTTCAAAACTTTGAGAATTGACAATTAAACTAGATAATTTTTTTCAAGTATTTATCGACTCAACAAGAACCGCAACCTCCTCTCGAGTAGCCTTTTCAAACACGCGCACATCATTAATAAAAAGCAAATGAGAAACAACTAGGGCATTTTGAACTATTTTAATTCCTTTGAATTTATTCTCTTCATTATTTATAGATCAATCTAGTTAGACCTTTCATAGCCAAGACAAATAAATATGGTGAAATTGGATCCCCTTGCCTTAATCGGCTCCAAACCTCTGATTGTCCTTTTAGAGTGCCATTGATTAACATAGAAAACTTAACAATTAAAACACAAGCTCTAATTCTATGACACCAATTCTCAAAGAATCCCAAAGATTTCAGAACCCACCACAAAAAATCCCATTCAAGAGAGTCATAAGCCTTTAAAATATCCAATTTCATTGCCATTAGGCCATCTCCCCCTCTCCTTGTCTTCATGAAATGAATTACTTCCTGAACCACTACAACATTGTCTTGAAGTTGTCTATCTAGAATAAACACAATTTGGAAGAATGGCACATTTATAGAGGAGGAGTTTCAACTTATTAGCCATGTTGAAATTTATAGAACATTGCTAAGGCTAATTGGTCTGAAATGTTTCACCATGCTAGGATTCATAATCTTGAAAATTAAAGTTATAAAACTTCGATTTATCCTTCCCACAAACTTATTATTTTTGAAAATGTCCACCACAAATCCATAAATATATTTTTCTAAAGCTTCCCAAAATCTTTGGTACATCATAGCTAGGTGCCTTTAGAGGGCATATTGACAATACTAACTCTCTAATCTCCTCCATTGTGTGGATGGTTATGAACATCTCATTGTCCTTCTCTGAAATCACCTACTCCAAAAGACCCTCAATTGGTTCAAATGGTGTTTTTCTACAAGATGTAAATTAATCTGTAAAAGCCTTCACCAAAATTGCAGCAATATCCTCATGATCTGGCTTCCATTCTCACTTGTCGGATTTTAATGAAAGAAGTGTTTAAATCACCTTGCCTCAATCAAAGTTGTCTTGATTTTTTATTGCCAAAATAGCTCTTGCTGAGCTAGGAAGTTTTCTTTCAATTTTTTTATACAAGCTATCCAATCCTCATTTCTATCATATCTATTATTTAATTCTAGTTCCACCATTTACACCCATTAATCAAGGTTTTCCAAATTTTCTCATTACTTTCTCTTTAATTTAAAATTTTGCCATTACATATCCATTTCAAAGCTTATTGATATGATATGTGATACTATATTTTGATTCTTGAGTGGATGCATGCTATAGGGGTTTTAGGCTCGAAAAGAGTAAAGTTTGTGCAATCATAGGAACAATGGTACCGAATATCTTTACTCAGATGTAATTATTTGGGTCCTCTCCACAAAAGTGGCCACTCTTTTAATCCTACCCATTTCCACTATAATATGGTTCAACCATTTGTTACTTCCATTTTGGGCCATCGCCAGGTGGATCATGATGGCTAAGTTGAGCTGGTTTGCTTTGAGAGTGCGTTCTTTTTTTGGATTTTGAGAGGGGAAATTTTCGTTAATGAGATTTTGGTTCCCATTGACCAAAAAACCCATGTTTTTTTAGATTTATGTGGGGACTAGAGAAAATTTATTTTCTTGGATTTCACTTACTCGCGGAAGTGATACCCATCTCCTGTAAATAACTTTCCCATTTGGGGGAAGTTGCCAACACTTAAATGGGATAAAAATGCTCCTTTTAATAATGGATTTTTATGGTTAAAATGGTCATTGCCTTATTTACTTAGGAAATAAAAGAATATGGGTAAGTAAATGCATTTACCTGAGTAAGCAACTTACCAAAAAGCAAATGGGGCCTGAATGGAAAGTCACATAAAGAAATTGCAACATGTCTGATGTTCAAGGATTGGCATATTTCATTGATGGGTCCCATATAGTTGGGCCCAATAAAAATATACTTAGTTGGAGAGCATATGAGTGACGTGGATGTCATAGCAACACATATCCAATTATCAGGTATGTAGAGAATCGAGATTTGATCCCCACAGAGAACACCTCACAATGACCCCGCAATCCCATCCCACAGTTTATTGGGAACATCTCCCCATGAATAACAACACGAAGTACGGTAGATGTTCTTGATGTGCGGCTGAGAGGCGTCATGAGGTTGGTGTGAGGACGCTCTATGAGGAGCAAATCTGGACTCATATGTAAAAGTATTAGGATCTTCATGGTGGGCCTCACCTTGCATGATATCACCATTACTCTATAATTGAGATGGGCTCCCCATATAGCATGCCCCACATCACATCACCCCCGTGCAATAGGAACATCTTTGGAATGGGGGAGATGTGTGGTGCACAGACATTGTGTTGGGAACCCATCTGAACTTGTTACTCTAGTGCACGATGGGTGATGTGTTGTAGGGTGCATGTGGGTGCACGAACACGATGGGGAGTCCACCTAAACTCATTACAATGATGCAAGGTCGATTAGGGATGACAAAAAGATGGGTTCGGGGAGGGTTTTGTGAATTCTAAGCTCTCCTTGCCTCCCTAAACCTCTTAATTCATACTTTCTCAAATCTTACATTGGATTGGATTTTTAGAGCTCAACCCTTCTCATACATGAAAATGCAAAACCTTTCTCACCCCTACCCTTCTTGCATTTGAGTGTGGGGTAGGTTGGGTCCAGAACTTACATTTATTTCCGATTATTTAATTGAAACATGTAAAAAACTCATAAACTATCAATTATCCTTTACATAAGATTCAAAACATTATTAAATTCTACACTTGATTGATAATACACACGTTAATATGCCTTACAACAACAATTTAATTATAAGGAAGGGCATATAAGTCGAGTTTAGTCAAATACCATACCCTACATGTACATGTATGGATAGTAAAATCCCAAAACCTATTCCTACCCCCAAAATTCATTTTTCAAACAAAAAAAAAACAGGATGGATAGGTAGAAATTGCCATCCCCGAATTCATAAGGTTTTGATTGATCAAAGCCTCTTTCTGCATCATAGATTCCCAACGTTTATGGGCAACGCTTTTGCAAACGTGCTATCTTAATAAGAAAATAATTACATGATGCAATCAAATAGGTTCTATGGTGTAGTGGTTAGCACTCTGGACTTTGAATCCAGCGACCTGGGTTCGACTCCCGGTAGGACCTTGTCTTCTTTTTTATCTTTCAAATTAACTTCCCGTGCACCTCACGGACTTTCTGCTAGTAATTGTAGAAACAAAAGGGGCGCGCGGTTTTCTTGACCAGGTTACACTTTCAGAGTAGACAAATGATGAGCAGCTCACGCGAAGGATCCCCTGACTGGTTGCGTTGTTTCCAGGTGAAACTACTAATTACAGTGACCTTCACTCGATTATGTTTACTGGTTCAGTTGTTTGTCTCTCTTTAACACTCATACGGTTGATGTTCTTCATCTTTATTTCTTCATTTCTACTTGAATGGTAGCTTTGTTTCTTCATATCTTATTGTAGCTGAACCAATCATTGAATCTGAAAACTGGGTTATCATTTTCTTCACTCCAATTGCTGTTCCCTTCCGTCTTTCTCTGTAGTGGTGATTTTAGTGTTTTACTATCTCGAGTGCAGAAGTCTCTTGTATTTATTTTCTACTGTAAATTCAAAGTTCGAAAGAGTGTTTTAACTTTTCAGCTATAAACAGATGCGTATTTTTCGTTTATATCTATCAGAGTAGCACACATTGTGAATCTACTCTTGATTTTAGTCCGCCCAAGTCTTCATTGTCATCCAAATCAGAATCCTGATGGAGAACCCTAACTTCTAAGAAGTCCACCACCTAATTAAACAATTGGAAGATAGATTTAAGAAGGTGAGTGATATGAAAGTTCGCCCATGGCCTGATTGATTTTGTCTACATGATCTACGTTTGAAGAGTTGTATCTGCTTAATGTTTTATTTTGGTCGTACATTGTGTCTCTTATGCTGAGTGAAGCGAAAAGCATGTCGTAAGAGTACAAATGAAGTTGAATGAGGAAAATTGACCCCATATGGTTCTTTCGCTGGATATATTTTTGGTAGTATTCTGCAACATGAGCTGCTCGTTTTGGGAAACTTTATGTAATCGTTCAACTTAAATAGAGGATGCCATTCAAACGTGGGAACTACCATCCTTGTAGATGGCAAGATCATTACCCTTGGAAGCTCTTATTTAGCCATTTAATCTTGTCCTGGACGATTTTGATTTGAAGTTCTCTTGTAGTTGAACTAGGTAGATACTGCCAAAGGATACTTGAGAACCTTATTTGAAGAAAAAAATGTTGTGTATTCTCTGATTGCATTGACTAAGAACATATTTAGGTTAATTTGGAGTTTTATGCTTCACCGATACATCTTGAATCTACAACTTGCCTCCTTTTACAAGCAAAGACATGAAAAAAAAAGCCCTTGCCTATGTGATAGTTACCCAAATTATTGTTAGACAGTGTATGCCCTTAACTCCAATCAGCATGATGTACATTATGACATTTATTGTAAATGAATAAAATATATATTTGATTCATGTTACTATGGTGTGTTTCTGTGTAATACCCTTAAACTAGACATATATGAGACTCGTGTTAGTTTAGAATCTTCACAACTGTTGGATAGATCTAGGGAGATTTATTCTACCAAGGTTGATACTAATGTACCACCAAGTTGGTTGGGGTGGCTTGTCTCAGCTGCCTGGGTGAGACCTGAGGTACATGTAGTGTGGGTTTTCTTGAAATCCTAAATCAGACCAAAATTCCAGTATTGCCCTGGACCTTGGAGATAGATGGGTAAAACTGGAATGTTACACCTGACCCCTAGACTCGATTATGATACTACACTAGGTGTCAGATTAGACTGCCTTTGATATGCCAATCAGTAAGATCTTTAGAGGGGGTCAAAACCTGGGTATGTTGGGACAGTCCAAGAATTCATTTGAGTGGGTGATCATAGTAATAGGATCAGCCCCTTTGTCGGACAAAGTGAATGATCGGGGATGCACTCTCTCTGATAGAAACTTAAACTGTCGGCAGTTGATTTCAATCATTGAAATTTGTTTTGCAAAATATATTTATATAGAGATACACACACACACACACACACACACACACACATATATATATATATATATATTATGGTTTCAAAATGTTTGCAAAATGTTTTAATTCCCAGGATCCATGTGAGTAGAGAGTGCAGCACTGCACCTTGCAGCCGAGGGAGAGGTCATCTCTTGTTGGACAGTGTTTAGTTATTATGGGTTGAGAGATTAAGTGTAAGACCATTGAGGATTATACCTAATGGGCTAATCTTGCATTTGCCCATAGTCCTTGGGTCTTCATAAGATGATTGGATCCAATGACCATTTAGTGTAAATGTTGGGCCCGTTAAGAGTCCATAGTGATGGACTTAGGGGTTCACTGTATTCAGTAGAGAATTCGGACAGGCCTTGTAACAGAGGCTAGGCTGAACCCATGTGGCTGATGTATAGATCAATGATAGGGTCCCACGCCATAGAAAGAAGGCCAAGCTAGCCAGCATTAAAGTGGAAGTGAGCCTGAAAGCTTAATGGGCCTAAAATCTCATTTCGAACTGGGTTAATTAAATTAATTAAATAGGGGCGGATCTGGGATTTGGATCAACAGATAAGATAAGGGATTATCCTTATCCACTTAAAGAGTCTATATCCAAATAAAAATTTGGATCAAAGGAACTCTTAATTTGATTAGGAAGGTTAATCTTTATCTGCAGATAAGATAAGGGATTATCGTTATCACTTAAAAGTCCAGATCCAAATATAAGATTTGGATTAGGAAACTCCTAATGGGATTAGGAGATTTTCCATTTAAGGCTATAAATAAGAGAGTAGGGCGAACCTCCAAAGACACATTCGGTGAATATAGAGAGAAGACAACACAATTAGACTGCTCTTGCCTTCTACTCTTTTTCTTCCTGCTCTTGCCGCTCTACCCTGTTCGATCTCCAGTTCTTGGATTGGATCAATATTGGATCTTGATATTGTTTCTTGTCAGAAAAAACAATTTAGAAGTTGTGCTCATTGTCCTATTTGATTCTTGCTAAAGAATCACTAGTTCTTGGTGAAGAACTACTTGCTGATCCTACCTCATCCTTAGCTGTGTCATCTTCAGTGGAGGGAGGATTTGGTACACTCTTTGGGCGTGAACACCTATGTTGGGAGGAGCATTCTTGCGTGGATTCCGTATCAGGTATATCCCTCCCTTAATTTGGTTTCAGATTTGGTCTGGTTTGGTTACAAGAACAAATCTTGAAAATGCAGTTTTCTAAATTGGGAATAGGATTCCCGAATGGGAGTAAAGAAATTTTTGAAATTTCGCCCAACCTTCCTACAGGGTTTGGCCATCCATATGATGGATCTCTCATCCCTTCAATTATGTAACTACATATCATTGTGGAGCTTTGTGCTCATAGACATTCCTATGTAGATATAGTGGGGAAATCCCCTTCTTCTGAACAAGTATTGGATAATCTTATAGCATTTAATTGGAAGATCAATCTCAATCGTACTGGTTTGAGGCTATATATCAATGAGATGACCAAAGGGCTAATAAAGGTGTTGCAATCATTGATATTCAACAGTTCTGAATTGATGTCGGACAAAACATTGGAGTGCAAATATTCTGAATTATGGCATCGGCATAATTTTTTTGGTTATTAGAGGCCTTTTGTGTGTGTGTCTATGTGTGCACATGTGCATTTTTATTTTGGAGGTTGTTGGTCTACAAATCTTGTACATAAGAGTTGTTCAACTTCAAGTACTTAAATTTCAAGGTTCACAATTTCGTTACGTATTGGGTCGTATTAGCCGATATGTATCGTATCAGTGTGTCACCGATACAGAAAATATACATCTTTGGGGGGTTTGACCCATTTTAGGGGGTAGGTAGGCCTAAGTCCCTCCCCTCTACCCTATTTTTGAGAAAAAAAAAGCTAAAAAAAGGGAAGGGCGTGCTACAAAGTACAATGTACCGATAGATAGTGTCGTTATTGTCACAATTCAATACTCTGAACCTTGTTAAATTTATTGTTGGATGAAGTAAAGTGAATGGCAATATGATGTGGGATTTACCATCTGAGGGTGGAGTAGTGGCTTTGTATTAGTAATTCAATTCTCCTGTAATGGGTGTTTCATATTCTATCTGCATTTTGTTCATTTTAACAAATTATTATTAATCTGTCACCATCCAAAGTAAATAAATAAATAAATAAATAAAAACGATCTAACCATGTGGTGTCAAATTTAATCTTTATAATTCTTCTAGATAAGTGTATATTTTTACCAGTTAAAAACATATGAAAGGTCATATTTTCAGGATGATCATTCTTTTTGGCCTTCAGCATCCTCATAATGCATATTCTGCTACTAGACCAGAGTGTACTCTAATTGATGGGGAGAATAGGTCTTATAGTATTATGGCACTGCCAAATTTTTTTTAGGCTTTATTAATCTTAACATGTTCCAAATTCATCCAAAAATAAAATGAAATAAAATAAAATCTTAACATGTCCCAAAAACTGCCCCCTCAAAACTGTCACAAAAGATCTCAAGAATATCTTGTTTCTTCCAATACTAGTTGCAAGAGATTACTTTGTTGAGCAGGCACAAAAAAAGTCACTTGTGACATTGTGTAATAGAAACAATCTACTAAAATATCTTTCTTTTCCCAATACTAATCGTAAGGATTTTCTTTGTTGAGCAGGCACCACAACAGTCACTTGTGACGTTGTCATCAGACTCTGAGCCTTCTCTAGATGGTAGCAGAGTAAGAGAGGATGATGTTGATCACAAAGAACAATCTATTCATAAAACACCTCAGTTGTCAGAAGGAGATCAGAATCAAGATACGATTCTTATTGACAGTGGAGGAGAATCTCCAATGACTAAGACTCCAAAAGTAAAGTCCCCAAAGTCCCAGGTGAAACAAAAGTATCCAAAGTCCCAGGAAAAAGTAGAAAATAAAAAACCAACCAAGAAGAAGAAAGTGGAAAATCAAAACCAAATAGAAGGTATGTAGATGGAGGGATGACAATGTTTAAAAGACAACTTTAATTAGATAAGCAAGATATACAGATTCTACCAAAATATAAATGAAAGATTGGGTTTGTCACTTTGTCTTGGTCTGAGTTTTCTTGTTTCATCTTCTAGTTTATGTAACCCTTTTTAAGCTATATTTTATGTGATAACCCAGTAGTGATACAGGGAATGAGGGTAAAGGTGAAGCCATGGAGGAAGAAGTATTGGAGAGGAAGCATGTTGAACCTCATGTAAGATGCTGCAATGGTTACTACACATACAACTCAATTTATATCAGTTCACTAGTTCTCCTTGGGGAGCCAAGCTACGTAAAATATATAATGTCGTCATGGATTGTCTGAATTAACCACATGTTGCTTTGTATATAACTTGCAGGTCTCTACTTCAAGGTTACCTCTGTTGTGTTCTGATAAAGTCCAACGTTCGAAGGTAGACCCATCTTCTGATTTCAGTTATCATATGCTAATGTAAACACATTTACAATGGTAGTCTTACTGGGATGAACCTACCTATTTCTGCCATTTGGGATTCTTGGATTTATCATGTTGACAATCCAGACCAAACATCTTAGATGGGAACTTCTAGATTGGCCATTTTCACTCTGCAGTCCATGTCAACCCTATATTGGGTTCTCCCTGGGGTGACATTAGCTGTTCAAATGTTCCCATTTATAGTTGAAATGAATGACACTAAAAGGGTTTATTATAGAGACCTATCAAGGGTTTTTGGGCTGGAAATTGTGGGTCATTTAAACTTGTACCTTTTTTTTTTTTTGGGGGAGGGTTGAATAATGTAGACTTCTTATCTGAGCAACCTAACTAGAAGATCTGTTCCTTAATTATATTTGTCATATCACATATCAGAAATGATCAAACAAGAAATTGGGAAACTTTGTGATTTCTTTCTCTTAAAGATCTTACTTGGAATCAAAGTCAAACAATGATGGGAACTCTTCTATTTGCTATGAGGATTTATTGCTCTTAGTAATAGCATTCATACAAATACACAGAGAATGACAACAGACCAAAAGATGCAAGAATTGAAGAGAAATTCTTGGTAGAAGCACAGTTGTCAAGGCATCACCTAGGGGGTTTCCTAGATGATGCCCAAGCAACAAGGTGCTTTCCTAGGGTCACCTTGCATGAACTCCTCAACATGATAGAGAGGGACATGTGGGTTGAGAAAAGGGTATAAAGTGTTTGATATACATTCACCTCATTCTTGGTGTTTCATGGCAAAGTAGGGGTTCTGCTTCATTCTTCTTGACCTTCTTCTTATTGCTTTGTCAAGTTTTGGAAGAAGGGATTTATCCCAATTATTGAAATGCATCAGAAATGGTAGATTTGCCCAGTGATTGATTGCATGCTGAATCATTGGTGTAGTATATTGTTAGTTAGGATTATGGATTAAGCTCGTTGGCTCATTTTAATTATTGTTTTCTATATAAAATAATATTAAAGTGGAAACATGCCATGGAAAAATGTCCTGCACACTGGACTTAATTTCTTAAATCCATGACCTAGGTGGGCTCCCAGGCGCATACACAACAAGGTGCTCCCTTCTAAATATGATTTTAATGATTGCTATAATATAGGGCTGTCCAACTCCAACCATGGAGGGTTGGCATTGATATGGTATAAAAATTTTTATAATATAGGGCTGTAAATGGATCATGATCTGAAGGGATCTTCTTTGAATGAAATGCATTTAACTTTTTATTTAACTGAGAGAACTCCAGAATTAAAAGTAGGGTTTGACTATGATGCCAGAAAGACATGATACCAGAAAAGCTTACAACCAAACCAACCAGCATCATAAAAGTGGTAACCAATAATTTCAAACCTTTCTGGTATCATATCTTTCCGGCATCACAGATTTTCTAAATCAGCAGCATCTGATTGAACCATAATTTCAAACCTGAATGGTTAATACAATGCTTGATTGGATTTTGTAGATTTTCAGTGCTTTCTGACTATAATTGTTGCATTTCTGAATTTCATTGTGCACCATCCAACTAAATATAGTTGGATGATGCAGATTAGTTGTACTTACGACAGCAATGCAACTGTAGTACCTATTACATGAAACTGAACCCATGGTTCCATGCCATTGGATCTGTCACTCTTTTTAAAAATGTTTGTATTATATTCAGGCACTTGTTGAGTGCGAAGGAGAATCCATAGATATGAGTGGTGATGTTGGTGCTGTTGGTCGAGTAATAATATCAGAAACACAATCCAAAAATCATGAAATGCTTTTAGATTTAAAAGGTATGGGATGTTTTGATTTTGGCATTTCCTTTAGTATATCAAAGCTATCCTAGAAACTTTAGCTCGTCCTCGAGTATCCATTTTATTGGTGATGTTATTTGATGAATCTTGATTTGTTGTTTGAAACCATTCTAGACAGTAGCAGATCAGGATTCATTTGCTGAAGCCAGAATCGGGAATAAGGTCTTGATGGTGATGATGATTTTGCCCTAATATCATCACTGGAAGACCTATTTACAATTTGTCATAATTTAATAAGTTTCCTCTCACATGAAAGGAAGCTTTTTGCCTCAAAATTTCTGTCAGATTACATATGGAAATACATAGTTGGGTATGGGCATTATAGAGATTCTAACCTGATGTTAAAAAAGAGTTCATGAGTGGGAGGGACCCCTTATTAAAATACAGTCCATTTCAATTAGTTTTACTTGTTAGCCATCAGTTCTGGTTCGAATGTATTTTTGCATCATCTGAGTATTTGGATGTATTTGTGTTAATTTTCAGGAACCATATACAAAACAACCATACTTCCATGCCGAACATTTTGCGTTGTATGTCATCCATTTCCATTTCAACTATTCAAATCAGCCATTTGTACTCTCAAAATTTTTATTACTTATATATTAAGAAAAGCTTACATGAATTGTCTGTGTTTAGAAAATGATTATATTGCTAACAATTTACACTGAACTCTCCTTGTTCAGGTTAGCTTTGGTCAGGCTGAAGCAAAGGTGTGTCAATGAATTACCTGGTCTGAAACTCCTCCAAGCCTTCCCCAATTTATACATTTCCAATTTCAAAACTAATAGGATGCACTGGTCTCAACCTCCTCATTTTCTTCCTGATCAATGTATTCCTTTTACTGATACAAAGAGATTTAGTTTCAAGTCACCTGATACATAGAAAGCAAATTCTAGTTTGAAATATATTAATCCAAAAAATAAATATAGTTTGAAATGTTTTTCCTTTTGCCTACATTTCATTTCTTTTCTTAATAAAATCTCTTTTTCTACCACAGACTTTTGAGAAGGGTTGCCACCTTTAATTTTAAATAAAATCTCTTTCATCTAGTTACCAATAAAAAACAGAAGAAATTATTTTGTTGTTTATTTGTATTCTATTGCTAAGACTATACGAATGATAAGAAATTGGCTGTGAATTTTAGGGAATAAAACAAAGTTTCCAAGACATTATAATCATCTTGATGGAATTTAGTTTGGCAATCCTTGTAGTTACTTTCCTACTGTAGCATCACTAGTTCTATTTTGGATTGTTCTGCCAGTTTGATCTGTTTGTTCTGACAAATCCCATTGGAAATAAACCTCTTTTAGAGAACAAGGACTCTGAATGCCAGGTTTAAAAGACATTTAATTTCCAGTTCATCCCCAGAAAGCAAATAATTATATATTTCAAGCATAATACATTGAATTAGTTACATTTTGGGAACACTTGTTAAAGCCTGTAAAAAGGTAGAACTTCAAGCACCTTATAGCACATAATAAGTGAAAGTTGTGGCGTTGGTCTGAACTTTGTACATCATCTATGACTTTGCTAAGACAGTTTTCAACGATAACCACCAAAGTTTTAATCCGTGGTTTAGGAGTGGTACTTAATCCTGAAAACACATACTTTTTTTTGACATGTTATCTTTCTTAATCAGATAGAAGCCGTGATGAATGACTTTATTCAGCTGAAGCCACAATCTAATGTTTATGAGGCTGAAACAATGATTGAAGGTTAAGTCTTCTTCTACCCTATGCTTTTGCTTTTTGTAATCTGAAGTGCTATACTCGAAGTAGCAAGAAAGAAAAGAGAATGACAGAAAAGAATAGAATGTCGAACTGTACTAGCCAGTCGACTAGTTCTTTATTTATAGATGAATATAGTACAAGGTACAAGAAATTACTGAGATGCCCCTGATTAGTGATGGGACACCCAGATGACTTAAATCATTAAACAGGATTAGGCCCATTAACACA